CTGCAGCGGAGTTTAGGCCCAGACACGGCTAGTGATGTCAGACTGAACGATCGGATACTCTGGTGAAATAAACAGATATGTCTGATTCTATGCATTATTTTTTTAAATGTATATATTTATATGTAACGTTAATATGCAGTTGTGTGGTTTGGGATCGGTGTGTAGTATTATAAATCGTTCCTTTTAAACTATAAAAAAAATCCTGTATCAGGATTTGTGGTTTTCTTTCATCTTTTTTCTGAAATACATCAAAACAAATTATTTGTTTTATATTCTTTGTGACTCGTTTCTTCAAAAACAGATAAAATAAGGTAAGACTTTGAGAACTAAACTTAGGAAAGGGCACCTCGAGTACATGTGCTTCAGAAAGTTACGGACTACATTGTCTAACAAAACTTTATGTAGGACTTAAAGCAACCTTATGCCCACCCACAGCAGTTCATAGAAAGCCCTTCCTGATGCAGGTCTGTTCCTGCTTCAAAGGGAGTTCTTCCATCTTACTGCCATCAAGTGCTAGCTCACTCATCGTCTTCATTGTTCGGGGTTTTCTTTCTATGATGGTCAGCTATGGTTAGACTTCGTCCTCTGTTTTTGTTATGAGTTTATGCAAACTCATAACAAATGTTTTTGTTATGAGTTTCCGAGTGTGACTCAGAATATGAAGAAATGACGACTGATGTGAAATTTATTTACATTTTTGTGTTTCAGGTCTGGTGAAGCTGGGTGTCCACTGTGTCACAAACCAGAAAGTTGCCATAAAGATTGTCAACAGAGAAAAGCTCAGTGAGTCAGTTCTTATGAAGGTAAGACCAATTTTACCCTCTGTGTATGCAGTCATCCCCGGCTCATGTGGTTTAGTTGGGGTTCTAATTCATCACCTGGTTCCCGGTCATGTCAGAGGGATTTGGAGAGAAAAGCAAAATCATTGGCCGTGTCTTGTCTGTCATGAGTGCATTGTCCCATGTACAGGAGTTAGGAGTTTGATGCACTGTTCTTTTTTCTATGTGAATAATATTTAGCATTGCATGTTTTCCAGATTTTTTGTGGTAATTTTTACAACATGAAAATGTTCAAGTCCTTAGATTTCTATAACTACTTTTTTGCAAAGCTGCTATTGGCAAATATTCACTTTAGACACCCACAGGAGCAGGAAATAGACCAGAACACAATGCAGGTACAGTGCATTTCTCTCTACATTTCAAATATAAAAACCTCAGTTTCTCGTGTACTTTCTCCGTCGCCTCTCTGTACAATGAAGGCGAATTTGGTACTTTACTTCTGTGGGGAGGTTTTGCACCTATGTAATTGTCAGATGTCGTTGCCCACATTTATGCTTGTGTGTGGTCACATATTAAAAACTGTGCGGCCATGTCGTGGAGTTTTATTTGCAGTCCCAGCTGATAGGAGAAAAAAAGCGTTGGGCCTTTTTTCCCTCGTCAGTCTTGTTGTTTTTGTTTTGTGTTTGTCACATCGTGTCCCTCTCGGTACTTTCAGCAACCTCTTTCCTGCTGACATTTCTTCTATATTTATGATTATTACTCTTTATACCGAGATGATGTGATGAACCCTGCTTCCAGGTCCAAACTACTCTGTGTTTATTAAGGCTGTTGTGTTTTTAACATGTTTTAATGCTGACATGGTTGTGTTCACTGCCAGCCATTCCCTCCTCTGTCTGTCTGGGGGTTGCCCCTGTAGCTTTCTCTAATCTTTCGCGCCTCGGCTTTATTTCAGAAGAAGCCGAGGCCCTGTTGTCATGGCAACAGGCAGCTATTGGCTCAAATTGTAACCGTTGCATTCTCACACAACAAAATTTAACCAGCCACCTAAAAATATAGTACCAAACCCAGATGGGATTTGAAGGAGGTGCATGTTGAAAGCATCACCGAGGCGCCGCTCCTCCTGCTTCCGTTGGCATTTTGAAGAGACCCCATCTCGTCCCATTTTGTTTGACATTTTCAGATGTGCTGCAGGTTCCCTTTTTTTTGTGTCTCTCCTTTCCTTTGCTCCAAACTTAGCGAAGCATTGGATTTATTCTGTCGAGGTTTTGCACACGAACGTCTCTTTTGTTCACCGTACAAGACACATTTACATTTCCCTTGTTCGTCGTTAGACGCCGGATCACCCAAATCATTTCCATATAAATACATTTTGTTTTCTTTTTGTCATCTCAGATTTTTATCCATGACTGATAAAGTTGAAAGAATTTCCACTGGCTTTACTAAACACACCAATATGGGAGAAAAGGGCGAGGTTACTGGCAGCAGTAGTTCTACAGAGATCGCGGTGTATTTTAAGGCTGTGTGAATTATACAGGACTCAACCTGCTTCCCTTGCGGGGATGGTGTCTGTTAGTCAGCATCTGGACTAGTGAAAGTCATCTGACTCTAGAGGACAGTGATGGTGCCATACTACTACACAGGCCGACAAATAGTTAACTTTATATGCTTGGTGAGTACAAAATGTTTGATAAGCAGCTGAATAGCTCGGGGACCGAGTAGTCCCTGTTGTAGTTCCTTGCACTGGTCTGCTCCAGGTGCTCCACTTTCAACCTTTCAGAGACTAATTAACTAGCCAATCAAGTGATGGTGTGGTGGTACAACGGTTAGCACTGTCGCCTCCCAGAAAAAAAAATGGCTTCCAGTTGAAACTTTGTGGCTGGCCTTTCTGTTTGAGCTCATGTTCTTCCTGTTCTTCCAAAGGTTTCATCCCAAAGTCCAAAGACTTGGATCTTAGGTTAGGTTCGTGATTGTAAATCAGATTTGGATGTGGATGGGAATTTGTTTGCTCACCCAGCTGGGATTGGGTCCAGGGAAGTTGGATAAGCAGTGGATGAATAAATGATGAAAGGATTACAATAAGCATAATAATGCTAAAAATTTAGCAAAACTATCTAATAAATAAGAATCTAGCAGCCAAACTGTTAATCACATTTTTAATAAACCGGTCATCCCCCTGAAGTGTGTGCCATACACAGTATATAAGATGGATGTTGCTGCTGGTTTCTGAAATATCATTTTGAAGATGAACCCTTCCATCACTGTCATCTTTGTGTTTGGATGTTGGATCTGACTGTGAAAATGCGTGCTTATTGGCCAGTGACATGTCAGTCACTAACTAATGAGCTCATCCTGAATAATCCTGTGCATGTGAAATGCAGGAGTGTTAAACTGTGCTTGGGTCACACAGGTCACATATAGGCCAATTTAATTAACAAAAAAAAAATTTTTTTTTGTTAGTTTAAAGATCATCCTGACAGGGTTCATGATTAAGAAACCTTTTAAAATCACACATTAAAGTTATTCCATGTTTAGTAATTTGGTAATAATAATTTGTCAAGCTCTAGAAGTATACTGCTAAATTACTGCGCATTTTCATTGTCGTGCTTTTAGAAGGTCGGTTCTGGTCCT